GGGGGGTGGCATTTTCCACCAAAACCCCTCATCAAATAATCCAAACAGCGTAATGGAGGACTTTCTCCTCATCTACAGTAATTGTCTTCTGGACCCGATTCCCGCTGAACAGCTCACGCTAACGTCGGCCAGATGTACGGCGGTCCCTGATTAGATCGAACATTTTCATGACAAAATCTCCGCCACCGGCTGTCGGGATGACGCGGGAGAAGGTTCTATCTTTTCCCGGTGTTTACATCTTCAAATGTCACAGAAGGGGGTGGGGTGGGCGAGGAGGAGGGGGTGGGGGGATACGACATGATGTCCGCATGCCAGAGCGGTCCCCAAGAAGCAAGCTATGGTCAATCTGCATCTGTTTAGAGCGTCTGGGTTCAATCAGAAGCAGATTTTAAGCTTGGGAGGAAAAAAAAAAAAAATATGTGAACAGGAGCCCAGAGAGTCGTGTAATAACATTTTCCGTTCATTTTCTGCCGCGCTGCAACTCACCAACTTTTCCACAGTTTTATGTCCTCATGTTACTCCCTGTGAGGAGCTACTCGACTATGGAAGGAGTGCGAGCATAAGAGGTGGCTCAGCAGAATGAAGAAACAAAATGGGATCGCTCGGGAGCCGATGTGGTGTAACGTCCGCGCTTCCGCCGATGATTTAGCACTCACTGGCATATTTTACCTGCCGGCGTGGCGTACCGCGACGCCAATCGAATGAACAGAAAGGGCGAAAGCAAAACAGGCATCCTTAATGGTCTCCAGAGCGAGCGATGCCCATTGTATCGCCTCTTGTATCTGAAATGAGACATGACATATCACGGCGCTCCGCAGCACGCCGCGCTTTTGGTGACTCGTACGACTTCCCTTCAATTTAAGCGTTAACAAGGTTTGCGGAAAACTGGTGAGGCGGTTTCCGGATTGTAAATAGATAAGGTTTGTGTCTCTGCCCGCGTCATCTGAAAAGGGATGTTTTCTATATCGGCTTGTGAACAACAACAAAATTTTAGATTTCTAGTTTTGAGAAATTGAGGTCTTCAAGGGTTAAACCGTGTGTCCGGCCACATGTGAAGGGGGGTAGTCATGACGGATGGATCGAGAGAGAAATGAAGAAATGGATGGATCACGAGAGCGAGAGAGTTACAATGGTCGCAGGGGTTCATGGTTACACGTACGTACGTGATCAAAAGGAAAAATGGAAAAGTTTGTTGAATGGAGAATGAATGGCTGATTGACATGACCATGGCCGATGAATGTGGTGATGAGTGGATGGGTGAATGATGGATGGATGGATGGATGAAAGAATGAATGAACAGTGGATGGATGGACGTATGGATGAGCATTGTGGATGGATGAGTGAATGATGGATGGATGGATGATGGGTGAACGATGTATGGATGGAAGGCTGAATGACGGACGGATGGATGGATGGGTGAACAGATGGATGTGAATAGATGGATGAATGAACGATGGCTGAATGAATGATGAACGAATGGATGGGTGGATGAAAGAATGATGGATGGATGGATGAATGAATGACCGGTCTTCGGGTGGACGGATGGATGAGCATTGTGGATGGATGAATGAATGGTGGCTGAATGGGTGAATGATGGCTGGATGAACAGATGGATGGATGAATGACGGACAGGCAGATGGATGAACAGATGGATGTGAATGAATGAATGAATGAATGAATGAATGAATGAATGAATGAATGAATGAATGAATGAATGAATGGTGGATGGCTGAGCATTGTGGATGGATGGATGGACATATGGTGGGAACAACGACAATGGCCAAGTCCGGTCCTCGAGAGCTCCCATCAGCGCTTGTTTTCGATGTCG